GGCCTACAGATATTTAGCACTTCATTTTGTCTTTATTTTCCTGTGGAAAACGTTTAGTGGAGTCCAATTCTTTTTATAATTTTTACAAAATTACAGTCTAGTGACCGTGGTCTTGGCTTTTAGACCGGGTCATTTAGACTAAGCCGAATCCACTGCAGGATTAAAGGAGCTTCATGTTATTGTTTACTGACTACTGGGAGGCTGCCTCTACAAACCCATTCCAGACTAGTGTCAGTAAAGTGCTACTGCAGACCACACTCAAGCACATCCTAGTGGCTCAGGCTGCAGTGCCAGCTGGTGAGGTTTGAACTCATTCAGTTGCTCAGCAGCTAAATTGCTAATTTTTGGAGAGTGTCTCTCCCCGGTGAGGGAAGGCGGTCGCTGACCTCCAGCATAATGAGACCAAAGCTCTTGATTAAGTTTGTTGCCCGTTCGAGAGTGTAATTGAACATGTTGCAGATAGCACATTTGTACGATCGACGAACTATTTGGTGAGGGAACCATAGTAATTCATCCCGTGTGTGCCCAAATCTTTTCTTACTACAGGGAGGGAAATCAGGCCACTGCTTCTAAACAGCATTTTTTAAAAATGGAAAAAAAATAACTTCCGTGGGCACAAGTCTCTATTTAACTCAGTAACTCAGTTATGGCCTTCCATTAGGACAAAACATATACTCATTCATTCATACCAAAATTAATTTACTCCCATTTGGGTCCCAACATCTGGTAAACTGACTAATAGGGAAAAAACATGAACCTCTAACCTACTGTAGCATGAGGCATTGGGGTAAATATAGTTTTCCTTCCTTTTGGCTAACATACCAAACAAAAAAATACTTTAAAAGCTACATTTGGCATAAATAACATCAAGCAATTCATGTTCTACTGCAGATTCTAGATGGTTATACTCTGACGTGGTAGTTGATTTGTTTAAAATTAAAACCTGTTACTATGTAATTGTATGTGAAGTAGAAAATCTCTCCAGAGCAGACCTGAGCACTGAGCGGCCCACAGATCTCAGATCATGTGTGAGGTTGTTGGTAAATTAAGAGTCAAAATAGTGTGTAACTGCGACATCTATTACACTGTGAAAGGAACACAAAATACCAATGTGTATTTTTTAAATATTTTCTCAACACTTTATTAACTCCATAATTTGAATTATTACAGATAGAAGCAGGTGTCAAACATACACACCTTCCTGCTATTATTTGTTTTTCTGTTTCAGCAATATAACATCATATTTGACTCTCCCAAAATGATATAAAACTGATCATGGGTGTTTTTGTTTTGGTCAGCAGAGATCAGGTGAAAGTGAAACTGTAAGTGACTCTCGACTCACATTTTCAAACACATCCCCTCACAGTCCATCAAACCTCAGCGTGGTGTAGACCGTTGGGACATTGATGTGTTACCATTTTATCAAACTCTTCATAGGAATGCCTCTGAAGGGAACAGGACAAAATCAGAGTAAGGACCAAATCTCACACCCTGTTAAAACCATAGGGAGACTCAATTTGTCAAGAGTGACTTTGTGGAGGCAGCGCCTATCAGTGGAGCTTTGAAGTAGCTCAGTGATAAGAGCGTTTCAAAGTGTCTACATGTTAATGTGAGAAAACGGTTTCAAGTGGGAGAAGATAACGGGGCTTCTGAAATGATCCAGCTCTTTTTACCAGACCAAGATTGTGACATAACCCTCAGTGGGTTGTGACATAATCTCCAGGGGAGCCGTCTGTGACGAGAGCCAGGAATTGCAGGATTACCAGTTGTGCTTTATGTATAAAAATGAGGTATTGTGCAGTCCTACTAACCTTGAATGGGTAAAAAAAAATAATTTAAACAGATGCACAGTCTTGGCAAGAAAAGTAACTTTTCGTACAGGTTTATTTTATCAAGATTATGTCAAAGGTAGCACCCCCCAGTGGCTGTATCATGCAAGCATGTATAGCTCCTGACCAGCCTCATGTCTTTTCCTTTAAGTCCATCCTAACTACAATAAATATATATTTTATTTTATTTTTTAGCGTAGGAAGATATGGCCAGGGTAAGTAATAACATTGACTTAGCATTTTCAGTTTGTTTCCACATGCTGGAATAGCAGCCTAGATATGATTGTGCAACAGGATGTGCCCACTGCTCTTCTAAGCCCAGAAGTTCGACGTAATGACCGTGAAGTCAACAAACTCGACGACTCGGTTGACCCTGGTGCTGAGAACATCTTGAAAATTATGAAATCTTTAAAGACAGTTACCACCGTGTTACCTCCGACATCAGATCCACCACTTCTATGTCACGACTAAAAAAAAATAAAAGAAAAACATGTCAGTGTCAATAGGACACAAAAAGGGTTTGTTTGTTTTTTTGAAGAAATGAACTGTTTTTAGTTAATATTTTAGCAAGGTAAATAAGACCAGTTTGACTTAAGAAGAGGAGATAAATGGTGATGGACAGTGTTTCTGTAAAGATAAAAAAAAGAAAGGCTAATTACATGTACAACAGCCCGAGGTAATGGTTTTTATGGGGTTTCATGGAAGAAAATATGAAATGATTGGATTATCTTTGGGGAATAGCTATTCATTTTATGAGACCCTGCAGCCTGGGACCACGATCAATTAGCAGTACAATAAACTGATTAGCCTTATAATTTTGGAGCTTACAAAAGGTGGCTTTGGTTATAAGTAATGTGTTAATCATTACAAATTTAAGGAGGGAGATGTACAGCATTTAAATGCACAGTCAGTCCATCTGGCCATAAACAACATCCCAAGGTACATAACTCACTGTATGCCATACCCTCTATGTGTGGATTAGGTTATCCTTCAGCTGTTATTGCATCATCTTTCTAATGTGATGCTAATCTGCCAATCACTACGGTGCATTTGTGTGGATCAGTGCAGGGTGTTCTTCTGGTGCGGCTGAAGAAGACGGCTTTTCAATCAGAATGTATTTATTTTCCTAAAACCCAACTCAAACCTGTGTCTCAATATGGTTTGAGATATAAAATAAGGAAATGCTGTGGTTATATTCTGTGAATATGTAGTACTTAGTGATGGCACTGTTTATTGTTATTAATATTACACTGAAAAGATTTTCATAGTGTTTGCATTTTTACAGATTTGCCTTTTGTGAATATGAAATTTAACATCTCTCTAAATTAAATATACATTTGAATGAGAGTGGGAATAGTTTGTCTCTATATGTGGCCGTGTGTTGGACTGACAAGGACTGAGCTGTGGAAAACAAATGGATGGAACGGGTGGATTTAAATCCAAGTTTAAAAATCGTTATCGTTCCGATATGCTCAATATATTTTATTTTCAACGGTCTTTGCTCAGAAGAAATAGCGTATTGCGGTAGGAAGCACAAATGTGAACATAATCTTAAATTACCCCACCGTCTTACAATTCAGCACAGTTAAAGTCCACTCTGTCTGCAGTGTAGCGTGAACGGCACGCATCCATCCATCAAGGTAAAGAACACACAGGTGTGTGGGAACAGAACGTACGTGGAGATATGATCAGAGATGCATTAAAGTTCTCCCATATGAAAAATTACACATTTTCAAATGTACGCCCGATCTTGTAATGCCGCTCGATTGGCTGCATGCAATCATGTCATTACCTGGCTGATTTGTCAGCGTAGCTCGCTGAGTGGACTTAATGACTGCTGATGTACAGAAGAGGTCCAGCATATTTTAACTATGTCTCAGCAAAAACGATAGAAATGGAGTCTGACTGTCCACAACACATTTGTTTTGAGAGAGACTGTCGGTCTCATTTCAATAATTCAAACCCAGTTTCTCATATTGAAATATGAAAGATATGTCAAATCTGCTTTGCTTAACTGTAATTTTGAATTCTGACAGGACATCTAGATAGCAGTCATTATTTTAGGTGTAATATTTGGCATATGTGTGGGATGTGATGGCCTGTGTGTGTGTGCGTGTGTGTAACTTACACATGTCTTGATGTTGATTTCAGCCTGTCGTAATGGCTTCAGGCCATTAACCCCCCTGTTATTTGCAATGAAATGTGCTTTCGAACAGGGAAAATAGTCCTGCCCACATAACTTACACGGCAGAATCACCACTTCTGCTGCCAGCCCTCAGCTTAGTGCCATTTCACCCCCCCCCGTCCAGTCTATCATCATCGCCGCTGTCAGGCCCTACATTACTGGCTCCCACAGTCTTTTCATGTTCATTTTAATTTGCACATCCATTCTCCACCGTAACAATACATGTCTTTCAATTTAATTAATGTAAATGTCAATTTTTCCGCCGTCCTCTATAATTAACTTATTGTGGAGTGCCAGTTCTTAAAGTCTTTGTATTTATTTTTTGTTAATCATCCTTTGACAGTGTGGTTTGATGTGTTTAACATTGCATAAGGGCTTAAGTTTTTAACAGAGCAGATTTAACCATGAGGAATTACTGCACTTTCAAGGCTTTAAAGACATACAACTGTCTCCTGACATTTTGATGGTTGGTCACTTGGCTTGGTACAAAAGTACTACAGTAGCAGTGCCTCTAGGCCAACTAGTGGACGTTTTTAAGATAAAAGAGCTTTATTTGTCAGACATAGTTTACGCCGTCCTCGACCCACGGTGTTTCAAGGTTACGTTGCTACTCATTTTATTTAAAAAGTCTAGTCCAGTCATTCTGATGTACGTCATTAAAGCTTGTCAACTACTATAATGTTATACATATATATATATTAGGATCCTCAGCTTTAACTTTTAAATAAAAGTGTGTTGAAAACAAGTTTGACGAACCAAGCAGCTGCACACTTTTCAAAATCCTCCTGTGTGCAGTGTTACATGGAGTTTGTGTCATCACTGTAATCCTTACACGCCGCCACCGTGTCTGCTGTAGTGTCGCACTTCATTGGCCTGAGAATGAATTTGCTGACGCCGTGTTTTTTTTCCCAAAGCCACTCAGGTCAGTCCTGCAGAGCTGCAGGATGTGTTTCAGGAGACTTCCTCCAATATCTTCCAGATAAACGCCAACGGTAAGAAGCCAACACTGAGTTCAGTGTGTGTATGTCACTCCCCTTCTTTTCCTTCTTAATTCACAATTTAAATTTCAATTAAAGTTACAATAAAAGTGACAGAAAAATATAAAAGCTTATGAGAAGTTGAAATGAAAAAGTAAAAGGACGAGATTGGCATAAAAATGAATTGGTGTCATTTAATAACTGATCCTTAACGATGTTCTCCAACTTTTCCTCAGTTGTCACACTAGAGAAAAATCTTCAAGCCCTGGGAACTTCTAGAGACACAGCAGAGCTACGACAGAGTCTGTGAGTCACACACACAAACACACACACACAGTCTGGTTTTCCATGAATTGTGGGGACTTCACGTAGACTTAATGTTCCTAAATTTCTTACCCCAATTCTAACCCTAACTCCAAACAAAATCCCAAACTTTAAAATACTAGGTATAACCACACAAGGACAAATTGTCCCCACAACTAAGCATTTTACCAAAAAATGAATGTCCCCTCAAGGCTAGCTATACCTTGACTACACCCACTTTTTGGAGATTGACCCGTATGTTTTCGTACGGTAGTTTTTCTTTTCGACTTCCACTTTCTTGTTGATTGTTCTCTTTTAGTTAAACTCCTGGTGATAATCTGTTTCAACACTGATGACAAATGTAGCCAATCTAAGATGATTACAACTGTTTAAAATGCACCGCGTCCCACTGTGTTCCCTGGCATGTCATCAGTTTTATCCAACATTTTTGTTGTTGTTGTGTTCTCTTTGGAAATACTGACAGTCTTTGGCTGCCTTCACTTCAGCAGTAGTTAACGTTAAAGTTTTTTTTTAAATATTATACAAACTTTGTACTTACCGTCTACACTCAAAAATTGTTTTCACCCTCAGTATCAGAGAAAGACGAATGCTTTCCCACAGGTCGGTCTCTTCAAATCCTGTGAAAATAACTGCATGGCTATCTTTAAAAACCCAAATGCAAAAATTTGTTCTCTACAGGTGTTTTTGTTTTAATGAACTTTGAAAGCAAAATAAACATTTTCTCAAAGGTGTGTTTATATTACTGAAACAAATTTTAAAAAAATAAATGAGGAAAAAAACAGCCCTGCTCATCCAGTAGGACCCTGTGTCCTGGAATCACTTTGTATTTACTGGAAATATAGTATGTCTGTGATATTAGATATTAGAGTTATCCTGAAGAACAGATCTGTTAAAATGGGAAAGTATGTGCAGTTCATTATAGAAGTGAAGCAACTTATAAAATCTTTGTTGGCTTCTCTGTCGACCACTCAGGCTTCACGTAAGCTTGTGAAGTCCCTGTTCCTTTTTTTGAGTTGTCTTATTTTATGTGCTCAGTATTAATATATATATATATATATATATATATATATATATATATAGAGAGAGAGAGAGAGAGAGAGAGAGTAATATAGTGTATACGGAACACTCTCTAGGTCTCAGGATGCGTAGTGTTAAAATGGAAGCTGTATATTTTCCGATGCATCCAGGAAAATTGTCATTGTTAATGTGTTTCAAAGTTAATTGTGTAGCAGTAGTTCATTTTCATGGCAGAAAGGCTGACTAGGCAAAACAGGATAAACACGGGGATTTTACGACCTCGCGGGTGTATGCTTGCCAACAATTTTGGCTCCAGTGAATGTGCTCCCTGGTAATTTACGGAGCCACCTGGTGGAATAGAAACACCATTAATGTCACATTTACACCTGTGCTTTTCCCGAGTCAAAAGTGTTCTGTAAATCGGGTCATTTTTAATCAAAAATCCATGCACAACATTAACCATCGGTGGTAAATTACCTTTCTGTGTAATTACCATGCACTGGGCGCAATGGTACCTTTTGATTTCAGGGTAAATATTTTAATCAGTCAGACAAAAACCTCTTCAAAAAAAACATGTTAAAAAGCCACTTCTGCCAGAAGCCTGTGAAAAAGGATACTAAAATGTTCAAGTCATATTTCAGTCTGTACATTAGAGTGGCTCCTGCACTCCATCCTCCTCCACTGTTACACAACAGGCAGAACTGCTCCGCTCACATCCACATTATTGCACCTGCTCTTCTACGGACATGTATGTATGCATATGGTAATAGTAGGTGTGCGGTCTGCTGAGAGTGCACATTTAAATGTCAGAGTAGAAGCTGCACCTCTTTTTAGCGTCCAGTCTGAGTTTGTCTTGACGGCGTTGTGACAACACATTTTTTCTGTTGTTTTCACTGTCATAAATATATTTCTCAAGGTCATGGCCAAACTTATGTTGTGCTGTCTTTCCTCAGTGTTTACAATAATCTCCCCTTGAAACTAAAAAATGTGCTAGTCAGCTATCTATCTATCTATCTGTCTATCTGTCTGTCTGTCTATATATCTATATATCTATCTGTCTGTCTGTCTGTCTGTCTGTCTATCTATCTATCCATCTATCTATCTGTCTGTCTGTGTCCGTCTGTCCGTCTGTCCGTCTGTCCGTCCGTCCATCCGTCCGTCCATCCATTGCTTAGATTGAATATCGCAGAATCTTGTATAAATAATTGTGAAAACTGCCACTTTTCAGTGGTTCCCAAAGTGCAGAGTGGGGCCCTCTAGTGTTCATGGAGCTATCTCAGCAAGGGCCACAGTAATGAAAATTAATTTCAGTTTTAATATTGTATTCATTTGTTCCACAGTAAATGTGGAAAATGCGCTGACTTGTAATTGTATTTCCTTTCTTCATCAAGAGTAGCAGTTTTGTAGGAATAACATTGTTTACATAAATTTGAAATCAGTTTTCAGAAAATAAACTGCATGTTTGTCTGTTGTGTGGGGCCTGACGAAATATTGCCTCTTATATACACTTATTTAATATGCATTAATATAGACAATAGATGTTAACACAATAGTATGTTAATTGTGGGTGGCTTCAGTGGCTACAGATGAAGTATCCATCATATCTGTTCCATTCCTCACACCTTCTTCAACCTCCTTCATTCTTTGCACCAGACAGCACCACACCACAGTGTTGACTGATTGAAAATCACAGTGTGAAAAACTCCAATCTCCACCACGCTGCTTCCTGTCGCCCCGCTCCCCAGCTTGTTGTGGGAGCCCGGTGTGACGAGCAGATGCATCATTGCACCGGGAGTTCTTCTGAGAACGTCCGAGGGGTTCCCAATGGTGGGCGAGCACTAATTGTTTACTAACAGCACGTCAGTAGGCGGAGCCTCCACATCCCTTCGGACCATCCATCACCCAGAACATTAGACAGTACAGCTTGTAATTCTAGTCGCTGAGCTGCAGTTTTCAGAGGATTACATTGGTTCCTGTTCATTCATCTTGTTAAATGAGTTTATTTTTTCCATCTGAAAGATGCTGATAGAGTCGGAGCCAAGATCATGTTTATTTATATGCCTACTGATGAGAATATCAAAGTGATGTGAGGGTATTTTATCCACTTGTGGTTGTTTTGGCAGAGCTTTTAGGTTGAAATGGCATTTCCTTGATAATCAAAGTGGAAAGGTTCAGCCAACAGAGCCTCTTCTGAAAAAAAAAGTTTGTTTTTATCTTAATAATGTCAACAACCTCCACACAATTTTAATAGAAAATACTGCAAATTAGAAAGAATTAATAAAATAATAACTGACAGCAAGGCAAACTGACAAAGTTGTGAGTGTGAATGTTCCGTTGCAGTGTGATGTACCTCTGAGAAACAAAGCAGATTTTATTTGATTTAAGGTATTTTATTTAAAGGATAAATCAGCCAAGTTGTTAGGTATTTGAAATGTTATGGAATTTTTCTAAGTCAGAACAATAAATTAGGTCAAGTACAGTGTATATACTATATATATATATATATAATATATATATATATATATATATATATATATATATATATGATATGATGATATATATACAGTGTTGCATCATACGTTGTAGCATACAAACATGTCCCAAAACTGAACATTACTCCCCTGTTTTAGGGGGCGATGTTTGTAGCCTTATGTAGGGTCAGTGGGTAAGACGGATCGGGTCACTATGAGTCTGAGGTGGGTCATGTCCCCCTTGTCCCTTGTCCCATCTGCGCACATGGGATAAAAAATACTTAAGCAGTGCTTTTCGTATTAAGCTATGTTTATCATAGTTTCCATATTAAAATGAATCTGCTATGGCAGCTGCAGCCTGTTTGGTCAGCACATTTTCACACTGGCACAGGTCTTAGATATTATAGCCTGGCAGAATGGTATTTAATGAATGTCTTGACCCAGATATTCTGAGAAGATGTCCACATTCCTACACCTTTAGATGTTCAGGTTTAATGCGAAACGTGTCGTGAAAAGTGCATATAGAAAACATAGGCAGTATTTCATTTACAGTAAGTCTCTGTTAGTGTAATATGTCAATATCACAGTTTATCCATAAGAAAATCTTGATCATTTAAACTTTCTTAAAAATATTTAACCATTATTTTGAAGTATAAATACAAGCCAGTAGAAACCCACATAACACCGTGTAAGTTTTCCTCTGACAATGTGTGCGTTTTACACAGCAGCTTGTACTACACATGCCACTACAATCGTATTATATAAAGAACGGGAGCTTTGTGTAAGCAGGCTCTTTTCATCCGTCTTTGTCTCCCCATTTGTCTGTCTTCCAATCTTCTCTCCAGCCACTCCACACAGCAGCAGACCAACAAAGTCATCACCCAGACCAGCCAGCTCATCAAACAGCTCTCTGATATCATCAGTGGCTCTTCACGGGTATTTCATGCCCTTGTTCCTCCCCTTGTTCATTTTTTTTGTTTTGATGAATAAACTGTGGATTAAACAACATTTGGGCTAATTAAAGCTAATCTTTTTTCTTGTTTCGCAGCAAGACCGTCTGCGCCTAACTCGACTAAAGACTGAACTCTCAGAGTCTGTGCAGTGCTATGGGGATCTGCAGAAGGTGATTCGCTCATTACGGGGTTCATGCTAGCGTGCGGCAGATGGGGCTCAGAGAAAACAAAGGCACTGAAAAATCCAATGTGTGGCACAAACTCAGATGCCATTGTCAGTATTTGAAGGAACAATTCCTCTTGATTACCTCTTACTGCTAGTTCTGGTCATGTTACAACAGTGGCTATTGTCGCCTGTCTGAGTGTTAATTTGACAGCTAACTGTCAGCTGTTCCAAACTATCCAAGTAGTTGGAAAATGAAGGGACAAAAATCATATTTCTACGACAAGAAATTACATTTTGAGGGCCAAATAATAATAATAATAAAAAAACACAATTCACATTAACATATTACTAAATGTATTTTTGACCTTTAATATAGACAACCACACAATATTTTTTATTTGATCCTCACAATTATGGAATCCAGTCACTGGCCGGACTGGGTGGTTTGATGTACCACATTCAGCCCGCAGGCCACTAGTTGCTGATCACTGGTCTATGACCTGTTGTCACCTACTGATCCCATACCTGTATGTCAGTAGATGACGCACAGTAGCATCATCCTCTTCACCATCACTAAAATGAAGGTAGTATTTCTCATGTCCAAGAAAATAAAATTCAGAAAATTCCACTCCTCAGAGTCTGCCTTTGAGGTGCAGGGACACATTTATTTAAACATGGCAAATTAAACCTGTCGTCCGCCTTCAAAGAACAATCTAACCCCGTCTCTTCATTTGTTCCTCCTTTAGAAAATTGCAGAACGCTCCAGGGCTCTACTCCCTCCAGCTCAGAAAGACAAGAAGAAGGTGAGCTGATGTAAAGGTTTCCCCTTTGTTTCACTGTCATTTATAAAAGAACAGCAGGAAATGACATTTCTCTGCTCAGTTGCATCCTTACAAGGGCTCCTCGGCTTCTCTGTCAAGTCCATTTTTGTACGTTCCTACTACAGTGAACTTGTTTGATTGTGATAAGAACATTTCAAACTTTATTTTCGCCTAAAACTCTTTTTCAGTCTAAAAAAAATGATGAAAAGAGCAGCAGTTATTTTTCCATTTTAGCATTGATTTTATTTATTTATTTTTTATTTTTTATTTCTTCATTATCCCATCAGTAACATCTGTCTCTGTGGATAACCCAGTCGTGAAGCACTGGAGGAGTAGGCTGCACACTTTAGTTCTTTCAGGAAACGGAGGAGGTTCTGTGTTTTTCAACACACGCCAGTCGTGCCGGAGCTTCAACCCTCGACATGCTGCATGACTCATAAGTACAGTGCAGCATGCTGTGAGGGTGAATATTACTATTTATCATGATGAAATATAATGTATTATTATATACATGCTCTTCAAAGGTCACAAAGAAGAGTCACACACATACACCAGAGGTTTAGAACTGGAACAAAAGTGAAACTTTTAAAAAATGTCTTTATTGATCCTTTTTGTATTTCCCTGTTATAACAACCATGAGTTTTTTTCTCTTTTTTAATATAAAATCATTAATGTAACTAAGACTGAAAATTGTTAACATCTTATATTACATACTGTATATTATATTGGAGTTTTTGATTAATTTATTCTGTTGATCCAATTTCTTCAGGGGAATGATAACTGGATGATGCTTGTTCAAAACTGTTTTGGGTCACATTAGATACATGTCTATGCTAAAATTAAAGATAATACACATTTTACTGTATTATTGTATTACAGTGCCTCTGATTATATCTCTTTGTGTGCGGATATCTAAAATAGACACCTTAGACATTTAGATACATGTCTATGCTAAAATTAAAATTATCTAAAATAGACACCCCTAAGATCAGTTGTGTTTGTGTTTGTGTATAAAATGTCCCATGTCCAAGGGCAAAGCTCATTTCGGGGTGAGTACGAGAAAATGATCTGACTCAACAGCTTTTATCAGGGGGCTGGTCTAATTTAAAGACCCTCTTGTTTAAGTGGATAAAAGTCATTTATCCATTACTCTGGGCCGGACGGCAGAGGCGGCTGTAAGAGGACCCACCTTGCTCACAAAGACCCTGGAAAATCTGTCTTTTTTTAGGCCAGGGTAGAGCCATATGCATTAAGGCTTTTATGTCTCTCTGAAGGCAAATGATCAAGATCATTCATAACCCTACCCTTATGCATTAGATAGAAAGGGCTTCATTACCGGCAAACTGAAGGGCATGTGATATAACTTTAACTACCCTCAACACAGAGCAACTCCATTAATCTGTAAGTGCATTAGAAGGATGTGGATGTGCAGCCGTGCAGTGGCGGCACAGTCAATACATCGGTATCGTATGTGAGGTGTCGGTTTCTATCGATGCGATAGCGAGAGAGATGTTTGGATGGTCATTACATCTGCATTTACGAGCACCGTTTTGCAGATGGTTGCAAATGTTATTGATCGTTTCCACCCACACCACATCATCAGTGTGAGCCGCAATCAACAGCAGGAAACTCCAGGAGAGTGGGTGCAGGTTTTTGGCAGCACTGAACTCTTTTGTGTCAGGATTATTATTGTCTTGAGGGTCATCGGTGATTCCGTGAGGTTTTTAAATATACGCCCCAGCGTTTTCTTCAGTGGGCTTGTATGTGGAGGCACTGAGAGTTTCACAGAGACTGGTAGTGAGTCAGAGCGTGGCCAGTGTGGACCCAGTCCTATGACTCAGACCATGTCGTCCCTGTGTGTGTTGACCCACACTCACCCATGCTGTCGACCAAATAAATGTAAAACACAGGAAATAAAAAATACAAAAACAGACACTTCACTTTGTAGCTCTTCTGTTTCCTTCTGTTTCCTTCTTCCTTCAGCGCGCGTCACGTAACCCCCAGCGTTTGATTCCAGCTGTGAACACTTGCTCTACATCATAATCCTGCCCTCTAAACCTGGTCTGACATATTGAAACATGACAATCACTGACTAGGAGAGCAGTTTGAACATTATCCACTAGACACAAGCTGTTCTAGGAACTGAATATCTGTCTTTTCAACCATTAGAGATGCTTTTGATTAGTCAGATTATTTTTCCAATCGTGTTGCATCGCTAAGAATGTTGAAATGTCTGGGAGCTGCTAAAGTAGAGACGTGATTAATATCACTTTACAATAGCAAAAATTGCATATTTATGGATGAGTCAGCAAGTGCAGTGTAGTAAGTAAGTCAATTGTCAAATTGATTGTGCAGGATTGTGATAGAGTAATACTGTTGAGGACAACAACTACAGTGTATACTATATACTTTAAATTCAAGGTAAAGAAAAAAGCCTTGCGTTCTTTATTTGCTTGTGTAATAACTTCACTTGACGGACTAATGGTTGATACAATACATGATAGTGGAACTAATAGCTGTCTACAAAATGTGCAACGTTAATAAATCCATTCTAAAAATCTATAGTTATAGAAGGGTTACTGTAAAAGGTGTTATCTCCTAGCATCTTTAGACACATTTAAAGAATTGTCTTAAATTAGCTGACATGAAATGGCAAATATCAGATCTGGAGCAGGATTGTAGTAATTGGTTGTGTGTTTGTATGTGCCCCTCACCAGATCGCACAGACTCCAACCGGTGAGCAGCCAGTAGAGGGTCCACTGTTCGGAGATGCAGCAGATCCAGACAGAGGAGCTCAGGCCTTCCTGTCAGAGATTAGCGAGGAGGACGTGGAGGTGCTTCACCAAAGAGAGGCTGCTGTGCTGCAGATCGAGGTGAGATAGACTATGTAACATCATTTTAAAAAAAAATGAAATGAAATTATAATTTTAATTAAAAAAAGCAACATGAATGGAACATGACACCTAAAAATATTGTGTTTAAAACAAATACAGAAACCAATGTATGTTAAGGAAAAGTAGAAAGTTGAAAAATTTCACATTTACACTTGGTGTAATGAAGGAGATTACATTCGCTCAAAGCTCTTCCCAGTAATGGTATTTTATTTATTTTCCATTATTTCCCAGGTTTTTCTTTGTTAGGGACATACAATAAGACACATTTAATCCCTGTGTTATAACAGTGTCTGCACAGGCACAGCAATAACATGGAGATGTGAGCTCTTGTTTCCACACACGCAGCTCAGTCATGTTGAACTGAATTCACTCACCGTTGCCTGTTACACTACCTGACTGGAACAGCTCTGCTAAGATTAGGTTTTCACAGGAACAGCTGCAGATTAAAAAACTTGCTGAAGGGGTATTTTGTCTGGAATTTTCTGCACATGCAAAAAAAAAAAAAAATAAATACAAACCTCAAACTGTTTGAAGGTGTTTACAAGCTGTCACAGTCAATAGCAGTTGTAGTCGATTCATGTTGTAATGATCAAAGATTCAGGACCCCCGGGCCCCGGAGTTTTACTTTTCTGAGCAACATTGTGCAGGTGAACTAAAGAAAAGTATGTTTGATTTGTACTTTTCTGGAGATCAGAAGATATTTCTGGCTCACAGGGAGATCAAGAGAAATGTTTTGGATACAAAACATATCACTGAAGTTGACATCCACGTTCACATCCACATCCATATTTGTGGAAAACAACTAATCTGACTTACTGTTGACTTAACTCAACAGTTTTATCTATTGTTTCCAAGTTTTTGCAGAATCAAAGACATTTTTTTCCATGTAGTAAGTTGGTAAGAAATTGGCAGAAAATAAAAGGAAAATGTTGCCTTTTGGCTAGTTGGCACATGCCGATGGATGAGTCAATACTCAGACACACTTCTGTTTTTTTCTTTTCCAAATTACCACTGAGGTGCCCAGAGCATGGCATCGTCCCCACACACTGCTCCCCGGGCGCTTCAGCTGCTGACTGCGGTGATGGGTTAAAAGCAGAGGTCACATTTGGTTGTGTGCAGTGGTGTGCTGTGTCACAAATAATTCACTTCCACTTCACTTTGACAACAAACATCTTATTTGAACTTTTATGAATGATGATGTCTGTATTCATGCTATCAAAACCACTGCCTCTCTATAGAAGAGGATTTAGTTTGCCTAAAACTCTGCTGAAGAAACTTTTGAAGATGCACTGCATCAGCAGTCACAGCAGCGTATGGCTAAATTAAAGCCCGACATCTGGTACTGGAGTCTGGCTTCAAACTGACAAACCCATGGGTGTGTATGTTGGTGTGTGTATTAGTGTGTGTTAGTGTGTGCGTCGGTCCAACTTCTGGACAGCAGTTTGCCATACAGCGGCTTGAAGACTAATGATAATGTTTGAGGAGCACTTTGCGGCATAATGAAGATGTATCTGTTTGGCCATTTGGAGCCGTCTGAACTTCATCAACCTTTCAGATCACTTAAGCCCACCACAGGAGCTGCACCAAGGAGGAGCAGTGGACAAAAAAAAGAAAAGTGTCAGGATGACACATGGTGAAAGGGAATGACAGCATTACTCCAGCACCAGGCGCCAACGAGGGGGCCGCTCAGAAGATTGGTGTTCAGACAGGGGTGTCAGGATTCTTCTTTAGTCATAGCAGCATAAATGTCATGGTTGTTGCTCAGGGCAGGCACTGAGGGGCTTGACGCTGTCTCCCAGGGGGAAGCGATAGTATCTGACAATGTGCTTTTCCCCGCTCTCTTCTTGCCTCCTTTTCTTGCCACCCAAACAGCAGCTCTCATCCTCTTGTATGGATAAAACTGTGGTGTTTGCTTTAAATCCCAACACGCCTCACTTTTTCCACCATCGTGCTCCCGGTGGAGCAGCGGAGCCCTCAGTCGGTTTCTGTTATCAGCCCTTTACTTTCCCGAAAGCTTTGGTGTTCTTCTGAGGTTAATTCTGTCTTGAAATGAGTGTGTGTATGTGTGTATGTGTGTGTGTGTGTGAGAGAGAGAGAGACAGGGAAAGGAAGAGAGGGAGGGGAAAAGAGAGAGAGAGATGGCTGTTGCAGCCTCTTGGCTACAGCTGAGCTGGCAAGTCATAATGCACTGACTGTAAGCAGTACAAAGTAACACCGTCATGATTTCTTTAAGTCATCTCTATCCAACCAGTCCATGACTCAGCACTGTGTAGAGAAAACCCACTCAATCAACAATGAACTGCTGTTGGGAGACATGTTTCGTGGGTTGTGTTTCATTGTTATGAATACCTGCAGAGGAAGTGTCAAATATAAGGCCGCTGTTAAATTAAGGTGTATTTGTCTGTAGGCAAGTAAATAAATGAAAATATATATTTAAAAAATGTTCCCTAAAGATTGAATCCATAAACTAAGTTTTGTTTTATGTTTTTATCTTTTAGCTATTAGCTTTGTTTGTATATTCCTATTTGCTTAATGTTGTCTGATAAGCTAATAGGCACCAACTGACTTTTAAGGCATTTCTTTAATTGCTCCACTCTAAATGGAATTGTTTTGTTGCAATTGTTTAATGCAATGCTGACTAAGGGGTTAAAGGTCAAATACATTCCCCAAAGATTCCTGCCTTTGGACCCGTGTTCAGAGATTCCTTCTGACTCCCTGAATCTTCTTACAATATTATAAACGGCAGATACTAACAGTCTTTCAGTGGTTGCTTTCTTGCGCTAATGTATAACTTAGCAGGTGTCTGTGTGATGGAAGAACAGAGAGAAATTACAAAATGTGCCAAAAGTGAGAACTGATGTTCTTCACAGGATCTATATGTCACTGGAACTTGTTAAATCACGAGAATCAGGTAAGATTAATTTGTAACCATGATGAGAAACACAACACCTACACCATCTGCTTCCTGCTCCAAGATGTTTGCTCGGCACAGACATGACGGTGTGTTTTTTGCAGCTTCATCATATTTCACCACGTCACCTCAGAGTAAAGGGATTACATAGTGATAATGAAGCCGATGTGTTCTAGACCCTGATCACTTTGGACCATCTTGGTCAAAGTGTGGTCTGAGCTGGGCCTGTGTGGGAGGACAGAGAGAGCACAGTGGAGTTAGCAGCAACTTGTCAAAGTAAACAAGGTGTGAAAATGCCTTAAATCTCCCACAATGTCTCTTCAGGGGCTCTGTGTCCATCAGCAGCTTCTCAGTGAGTGGCTGACTAGCATACTTAATCAGATCGTCCTCCTGAAACTGGTTCACCTTCTTAAAAAAGGCAGCTGGTTGTGTTGCACTGTGTCACTCTTCCCTCTGCAGGCTCTGGACCAAACCTCCTCACTGGGCTCTCGGTCTCTTCACTGAGCAGAAAGGCTGAGTCACACATCAGCATGTGTTCGGTTGCTCTCTACAAGCTTTGAGGGACAGTCATGTGCACTGTGTTGCACAAGCTCAAAATCACTGCTGTTCCTCAGTTCACACCGTGATATATAATATTTCCTTCTGATTCTACATTTAAAGCAGAAAAATCACATTTCAACTTAACAACATGTTCTATTTTAATACAGTATCTTAAATCTCTAGAGTTAAGATTCTTGCGATCAAGTTTATAAATAACCTTTTTTTACAAAAAAGACCATCATTGAAATATCACTAATTCCCGATGAACAGTTTTTGCAAACGCACAGATGGCTTCACTGTCCACGGTTTATATTTTTGGAATTCTAAGTCATCGGCAGTGCTCACCCTTGTCTATTCAGTATGTCAACATGAGCCTCTTGAACTACAGTCTCCATCAAGCCTTCATCATCACAAGAATCTCCTCCTCCAACTGTTGTTGCAAGGACACTGGCCACAGCTGGAGCAAAACTGTGGATGGATTTCAAATTTCTAGTGAAATTGGCAAAGGCTCTCTTTAAGACCTTGCTGTAAATTGTTTTTTTAATTTTTTAATTTAGGAATTTCTGCCTGAAGAGGACTAGAAATAATTTTCCAATGAAGAGGGTGAAGCTCTTTTCTTTAGGTGTGTTCACATATCCTCTTTCCTTATGTCTGCAGTTTCATCGCCGCCATCATTCTTTTTTTTTCTCAGCGTACATCCAAACAATCTCAACTTTGCCCCTCTCCTCCTGATCTCTAAACTCTTCACCCTCAGCTGTTCAATTCTGCCTTCTGTCTGAAATGTTTCCAGTGGCTATATGTAGAAGACTTTTCAGCATCCAGTCATAATGAAGCCGTCTCTCACTGGATCACCTAACTGTCTGGATCAATATAACAGTTCTGTGCTTGGAAGTAAAAGAAAGGAAGCACAAAATGTCCTTCCCCTTCTCTGCTCATCGTTTATCTGACCATCTGTGGGTTTGTGTCTCCTTCTCTTATCAGCCGCTATCACATCAATTCCCCAGGAAGAGATAAAACTGACAGGCAGGACTAAGTTGTCATTCAAAGCCTGTTGGGAGGCATGTTTTTTAATTCAATCTTTAGTTTGTTCTGAGTACCCCCCCCCCCCCCCCCCATTTTGTCATTTTTTTGTTATTTTGTTGCCAATCCAAACAATGTATGTGTTTGTTTATATTTTCTTTTTGCTACAAAGTATGAAACACCATTTTCTTCTATAGCTTTAAATCTTTTATATTTCTTCTACATTCAACTAAATTCATCTCCACCCTGCAGCCTTCCCTTCTGTTGTGCTTTGTACATTTCTTTGCTTGAATGATGGCAACTCCCTCTGCACTGAACCTGCATTAAAACTTGGAGGAAAGTCTGTGCTCTTGGTTCTCAGCCCATTTCCAGTACCACTGGCTCTTTGTATACTGACCAGAATTGAGCCATGAGCAGAATTTAAAGCCTATTAAATATGTAAAAGAGCAAAGAGTTGGCTCAAAGCCTGGTTCACGTTCGGCCCCCAGACCAAGGTTCAACCTCTCACATCATTGTCCCTCACTCTCTCATTGCCTTTTCATATTCACCTCTTGACATTATTTTCCAAATTGGTTGCACACCACTCCGTCAACATGATAAAGTGGCTCCTGATTGTCCAACCCGTTGCCAGGTGAAAACACATTTGTATTCTTTTACGGCCTGATGGACAGGGTGGTCTGAAAGAAAAATGCAAAAACAGTCTTTAGCATCACAAGGTTTGCCAGAGGCTATTTTGGCTTCGTTCGGATGGTTGGTGCCAAGTGACAGGACGGCTGCCAGTTTCCACAGCAATCTCTGCCACCTGTGATGGATGGCCTGGTGGGTGAGGCTACACAATCACAGCTGTGATTGGACACAGCCATAATGGATGCAAAGGGAGACCTGTGTTCAGGAGATAGACAGAGGTTTTATTAGCTTTGATGTCAACTTGAGTAAAAAATATAAAGAGAGCAGATTCGATGCTTGCAGAATACAGATAATTAGCTAAAGTAGCTGCACTTTTTAATATATATTGTTTGGCACCACCTGGTGTATAGATGCACATTAAGCATTAATGTGTCCCTGGTAGTTTCAGAATACTGAATGCGTTATGAATGCACTAATCTATTCAAGCACTGAGGACCCGATCAGAAGTTACAGGGATTTCTGTATTATTGTAATATTAAATAAGAGCTTTTTTTAAGGAGCTCTGTCAAGCGTGCACTTTGCTTTTTGAAAAACAGATGGACCACTGCTATTTTTAGAAGAGGGAATTTACGAAATTAAAAAAGTCTGTAAACTGCCATCATGTTCACTTCGGCTTTTGTCACATATGTTTTAGTTGATATTTTCATCTTGCTTTATCTAACTGCATCGTTTTATAACGTTGTGGTATTCTTTTGAAGTATAATTTCAAAGTTGAGCTTTTTCTTCCACCAGCCAACATTATACTACATTTCATTGACCTTTTTATTGTCTTCCAATTACATCGTACGTGTGAAGTAACACTTATCAACCATCAGTCATTCACATTCACACTCAGTCAGCACAGATGCCCAGAGCGACTTGTAATTAATTGTTTTGCCCAGGGAACACATTGGCACGCAGGCTTAAAGCCCTAACCCTGTCAAAGACGACCCTCTCTACCTAGTAACCCACAGCTGCCAATTAATCCTTTGTGGCATAAATATGCATTGTTGTACTGCACACACACACAAAATAAAAAACACATCAGGAATAATAAGAACAGGGAGTACACAGTAATTTGATGATGAATATTTTTACCAGTAGTGTTTGAAGTAGTAGCTACACCTACGCAGGGTAATGAACTTTTGTTTCCAGGCAGTCGGTGGTCAACATGGTTACAATAAAAATTGTTGTTTTTTTTCCTCCACAGAGAGACATGCTGGATGTCAGTCAAATCATGAAGGATCTGGCTAGTATGGTTCACGAACAAGGAGATACCATAGGTAAGTGTTTATGTAGGTTTAGCTATCTGTTTCTGGAGGGACAGTGTCTGACAATGGCCTTATACAAGTTCCAAAGTATTTGCCATACTTGATACATATCAACCCCAACCAAAGGTATTTTTGTGTATTATTAAATGATAGTAGTATATATAACAACATATGAATAGGAGCATAGTAACAGATCTCTGTTTTCTTTCTTTCTTTCTTTCTTTCTTTCTTTCCTACTGTCTCTCTCCCAATGTGAAACCCTGGAATAGGAATTGAAGAAACAAAGACACAAACTTCTTCTTCAACAGGACCGATATTCCCTTTTATTAGTTTTTATGCCATCCAAGTCTGTGAAGAGTATTGAATTGTTCTGCCTGTCACTGTCGACAAACTAAGACACATCATTCGCTGTAGACAAATAATCACTGATTGTGACATACTGCAGCACTGTCTCTGCAGTCTCAGCCAATAAGCAGTCAAATGTGTGATTAGGGTCAGACTATAACACTGTAAAAATGACAGGATTTAGATGTGTTACTGTTGAGTCACAGAGTTGCCATCAGCTGTGTCTTAATCCATCATTCCCTGCAAACACAGTGTTTACTTGATAATGACACATGGAAAATAACTGAACTGAAAAATATACTGTGTATTTTCAAAGGTTAGAAAGTTATACCAAGCATAAAGTTTACTGTGTGGAAGAGATTATTAGTTGAAATATGTATTGAAATTGGATCCAATATGTGAAATTTGTGATTTGGAGTTAAGGCAAACCAAAAGTAAATTCCTAAACCGCAGCTCAATCATGGTCCCAGAGGCAAAGTATTTTATACTTATATACTATACTTCTATTTTAGTAAAGAGTAAACTTAGTTTTTTTATGGAGTCTAAATTCACATAGGCTTGAATACATCTTTTACAAAGTCTAAGTTCACAAACATGCTGGTATGAAATGTTTAAACCTTACAGTGGCCTTCAGAGCGTCTCTGTATCCATCGTTTGTTCCGTGTTTGTAGTCATTTGTAGAGGATTTTGGGGTCTGTTTAAAAACAGCTCTCTCAACACCTTCAGTTTGTTCTTCTCACCTCATATTATTTACATATTTAATATGTAGCTATTGTGAGAAGCCGACAGGTAGCTGACCTCAAACACCAACATCATGCAGCATTTGTCCATTGTTGTTCATTGTTCTGCTTTTTTTTCAGCCGTTGGTGTGAGGTGAAAGTGTGAGGTGACGGTGCTAATTACTGCAATTTCGCCCACCAACAAAAAGAAACATTCCGAGCTGAGATTCAGTGATACAATAAATGTGCAGTGATTAATATTAATGTGCTTTTTATTGAGGATGCATGAGGAGATAAAATGATCCCTTTTATAATTGTCTTGATGATGTATGATAATGTCAGAACTCCGAAAATTAGTTATAAACAAACAACACGCTGTTGCTGCGTTAGGGATGAAAGTGGCTTCAGCTTAGTGGAAAAATAAATAAACTTGTTTTGGATAATTGTTTATTAAATAAGCTCCTCCACTGAAGTCAAGGAGCTGAAGCTGAAAAAATAAACATTATTTAAAGTACAATTTACAATTTTCATAATAATTTTGGATGGTTTCAGATGTCTCCTACTGGGAATAGTTGGTTAAATATTCCTCCAATGTATCTGGTTGACTTCTACCTCAATGCTTTTAGGTGGCAATAAAAGTTTGTTTAACAAAACGATAGAGAAGGGAATAATTATATTTAAATCTATGTAAAATATAAATGGCCTCTGAAAAAGATGAGGCAATAAAACCACCAGAGGGGGTGGCCTTTGCTGAATAATTTCTTTGTTTTTTGGGAACTTCTTGCCCTTTATTATGGCACCCCAAACCTAAGTCGGATGTTTCTGATGTGTTTAGGTCATGGATCAGGGGTGTCAAACCTATTTTCACCAGGGCCACATCAGCAATACAGTTCTCTTAAAGGGCCTGTTGTAAATGGAAGACTGTATAGATCAGGGGTCCTTAACCCCCGGGCTGCGGAGCAGTACCAGTACCAGTTCATTTGGTACCGGGCCGCAGTGGGACACAGTGAAAAAATGTATTTTATTTTTACTAATTTACTTCTTTAGAACTCTGACTTACTGTAAGTTGATGACCCCATGTACTGTGCAATCCAACAGTTATTTCAGTTTAGTATTATTTATTTAGTTTATTTCTGTTGTTTCTAAAGAACTACTTATTTTAGATATAGTTTTGACTGCAGGCTCGTAGCTTTGTTTTGTTTGAAAACATATGCTTTAAATACTTGAAAAGTAAAAAGTCTGCATTAATATAGGTATACAATAAAGGTATATATCTGCTAAAAAAAACCTTAGTCAGGCACTGTACTGTATATGTATCGTATTTAGCTTTTGAATGTGGTGTCTAAAGTTTCTTTGCCAGTCACTGGTGATCTGACTGAAGTTATTTTATTATCTGCTTTCTTGAAGCATGTTCTGTCATCTCTAACTCAACCTAACTTATGCACAAAGTAAATGATTTTTTTTTCAGTCATTTTCTCTGGCTGAGTTCAGAAGTTAATTGTTTACAAGCTAGAACAAAAGAGTAATTATGAGAAGTCATCAAAGTGTGTAACACCGCGGCATCATCGCCCACATCTCTGAACTGCTGCAGCCTCGTCACACTCTCTGCAGTCGCACTATTATTTGCTTTTGGCCAAGTGTTTACACTTGTGTAACTAAAAGAGGATGGAATGCATCCAGTTCTAAACATATTATTATAAACATCCTGTCTCCTCCAATTAACTTTCCTCTATCACCAATGTTTAATGAAAGAAACTGCACATTCTTTAAGTCCTTAGATTCTATTTACTGGTTTAGTTTTTTAGTTTTTTTTTTTAATATTGAATCCCATTATGTGGAAATAGAAAAAAGCAAAGGAGGATATTGGTTAAGGTATATTTAAACTCACAATCTCACTGTGTTTGGTTGTTTTAACCAAAACTAGCCTAGTAACATTGCTATATTAGCTACTTTGCATTGACATGTACACTGACATGCTCATCTGTATCCAGGCTCTTATTGGACTCAGTCCCTTTAGATCTTTCTCTAAATAAAACCAGATAAACATTAAAAACAGATTTTTTTTTTTTTTTGTACAAAACCCTGATTTGGAGAACGACAGAAATTTAATTTAAATTTAATTCAGTTGAAATTAGTTTACCTGCAGTGTTACCTTTGTATTTCAGTGGCTATCCAAACCACCTAATGTCACACAGTGTTTAGTCCTTTTATAAAACAACCTCAGTTGTGGTCCATATGTAAGAAAGAAGCATCTAGTGACAAAGGTTAAGGTGTTAAAGTTTGTGGCAAACAAAGTTACTGCTTCCTTCTACTTCTAGTCCTCTTCAGGGTCGCAGGGAGAACTGGAGCCAATCCAAAACATTTAGGCGAAGTTGGATACACATACACAAACTATATACAAGAAGAATTTAAAAAATGTGTCATATGAGACAACCCCATCATTCAGAGCCTGTGGAATTAGGTTTAGGACCGAACGTCCTCGATTAGAGCTTGGATAAATGTCATGGTGGTGTTTTGGTGAAGTCATCCACCAGTAATCCCTTAAACTATCACAATAATAAGTGTCAATGTAATAATTATTTATTATTATTGGCAATTATGAAGTAAATGTTTTTATAAATGTTTAAATGGCTCAAAAACTAAATAAGATTTTTTTATAATTGCTTTTTAAATTATATATTTATATAAACTGTATATATTTTATTTATTTATTTTAATTGTTTTACAAATTGTCTTTTGGTTGTTTAGACAGCATTGAGGATTACATCCAGACTGCATCATCCAATGTGGAATCAGCCAATCAGGAGCTGGCAAAGGCTGATCATTATCAGGTACAGTGATCTTGTTCTAACCTATTATTAGCTTTGTTGTTATTTTTTTCTTTTCTTTTTTTGTTCAGAGCATTTGCATTGTAATGGGAGATTTGAATTGATCAGCCGTGCAAAAAGGGAAACTTTGCTCACTGGATTAAACAGCTCTGTCACATTTGCTCAAGTGTAATATCATAGATGATGTAATTCTATGTCACAGACTAAAGGCTCTCAGCTTCAAGTAACATCATTTCATTTTCAGAAGAAAACATTTTTGTGGTGTGAGTCCCTTCACTACAAAACCACATCGACACTTTCCATGGAAATGTGTTTTTCTGCTGAGATAATGCTGCAGCGTTTATGCAGCCAGAGTATTGACTGGCAGAGTCAAATGCATTAAAGGACAAATCCAGCAATTATATAGATTCTTTTTTTCTTCTTCTTCTTCGATGCTGTGTTTTTGGATGGAGACAATTTCCACTTCAGAGTCCATAACAGCCAGATACTTTTTGAGGAGCCTGAGGCTCTGTTTTTAAAGAAATGTGATGTGATGTGTGTGTGTGTGTGTGTGTGTGTGTGGCTGCTCTGTCAGGAACTAGCTCAGCAGGCCAGGTCTCACTGTGGATTTATGTAGTGCAGACCCTTTGGCAATGGTAAATATAATATTGACTTTAGTGTCAGTGGGTTAATAACAAATACCAGGCCAGTTACGAAAACATCTGTTGCTATTGTGCATTTCTGCGACCAACAGATAAGATTGGGCCTTTAATTATTATTAACCAATGTTAGCTTGATTCACATGTTTACAGATGAGTGTGTGTATGTGTGTAAATGTGATTATGTTTTGATCGCGTTGGGCATTTTAGGTAAATGAAAGATGAGCGAAGATGATAACTGTCACCTGGTTATACATCTGGTGTGAGATACAGGAGAGGAAAATATCACGTTTTCTTCTGTCAGCATTCACACTCTATAAAGGTTTGTTTATGTCAGAAAAATACAAATCTTAGTTAAAAAAAGATTAACGTTGACATTGGCTGTGATGCATATTCTGTTCAGTCAGAAGGAAATGATCTCCACTGTCTGGTCCATCGACGTCCCCACCCTCGCTGAGCTAGAATAGAAGCATGTGTTTCCTCTGCAGCGTTGCTGGGCTCAGCCTTGGGGATTGGATGAGGAGCTGGGGCATCTGAGAGAGCAGATCCTTAAGCTGCTCCAAGCTAGGACAAGCCAAGTCTGGGTGTCACGTCAGGATGCACACGTGTCGGAGGCAGCTTGATCTAGAACATACTGGTGTGATTACATCTCATAACTGACCTGGAAACACTTGATGGATTAGACAGAGACAGTGGCAGTGGTGGCTTAGTGGTTAAGGTTTCAGGTTCGAGTCCACCAGCTGCTAAGTTACCACTGAGGTGCTCTGAGCATGGCACCGTCCCCACACACTGCTCCCCGGGCGCTGAAAGCTGCCCCCTGCTGACTGTGGTGATGGGTTAAAAGAAGAAGTCACATTTGGTGGTGTGCAGGGGTGTGCTGTGTCACAATGACAGGGAGTTCACTTAAAATTAGTCTCATATTTCATTAAGGAAGAACTGGATCAAGTAATAGTGGCCAAAACTTGCTCGTAAGAGTGAATGTCCAGAAATAGAGATAAAGATAAGTAATATTTGAAAGAGAAATCAGTGAGATGAAGTTCTACAATGAAGCATCAAAGAAAACTCACAATGTTATGTATATGAAATCCATAAATATATGAATGAAAGTTGTTCTTCTTTACTTTACACAGACATGCAGTAGATTCTCAATCATTTGAGGGATTTTTTTAAATGTCCTGGACTCAGGATTCATGGATTTTCAAATGAACTGTCGTTCCACTTAAAAAACCTTCACAGATTATTTTTCCTACGTCTGTAAAGGCTGCAGTGACGTCTGTCCGTCTGCACGTGCTGCTGCTCCACCAGTGGTGGACAAATATGCGAAGAGAAACAGCTTTCCAATTAATTGTCATTTCATTATCTCAAGGAGAGCTGAGCCGTGACCGAGCTCACACTGAGCAATTTAGTTCTCAGCCAATCCGAGACGGTGCCGTCAATGCAGAGTGGCTGAATGAAAGAAGAAGAGGAAAGAATGAAAGACAGACTCCACATCTGACTGACAGACACACACGGAGAGAATATTCAGCGTACATAGGCGACAGTAAATTCTCCTCAGAGCGGATTGAAGTGAAATTATAGACTTTTTACAAATACAGAAAGCACAAAGCTTATACGCAGTGGCTTCGTTCAACCAACAGAACTAATCACTTCATAACCTACGTGCACTTTTTTGTATCTCCATTGTATGAACGATTTTAGGCAAAAAGATGAAAAAAGTAAATGGCTCACAGGTTTTGACTTTTGTCGATTTGTTGAATTTCTCAACCTTCAACAGTGTGACTGTTCCCTCTGAGTTTATCTGTGGAGCCTGAACTCATTCTACTGTGTTACACTGTAGAATAGTACTTTCTGTTAGTTTTTATATTCAGTCTTGTAACTGTTATAATAAGTCTTATTTCAAACCTTGATAAAAGGTTATCTGCACATTCACAGAATACAAACCAGTGTTTTACAAGTAATAGTGAAAAAAAGGAAAGTAACGCTCATTCATATGATTTCTACCTTTTCATCAAGTGATCAACGGGCAGGTGTGGAGTGTAACCTGGATAGTTTGGTCAAATGGCCACAGGCTACATATAGAAACTAACCACCATTCACACAATGTCTGTGTAGATTCACACTCCATTTACACCTATGGTCAATGAGGGGTGTCTGAAGTACAGGAGATCACAGAAAAAACATGCACACATGGAGAGGACATGAAAACTCTATAACTCTACAGAAAAAGATCAGGGTTTGAACCACATTTGGCCCTTTCATGAAAGTAAGCAATGTTTTTTTTTTGACTGTAATATACCTTTATTATACCGTAATTTCTTAAATATTAACAACAAAACAAAAATAAACCCTCGGGATTTCAACTTTGGTTCCTAAACAATTTGTACGTATCAAAAACAAAGCATTAACTTCAAAGTGAAACTACCTCAACACTAAATATCAGAATAATAGTGGACACTTACAGGAAGTCCAGTCCACAACCACTGACCAGCAGGCCCTGATGTGTCTCCATTGGTGGTCAGTTAAAGCCCTTGTGCCTTTCCCTGTCTGCACACCCTACTTTGAGAATAAATGATATCCTTAATGCATTATCAGGAGGCAGAGCACTTTTCCTGCTGCAAGTCTACCTCTCCAATAGTTTCTGTAATGTTAAATCACCTAATCGTTGCTCAGTGGACTGGAGTGAAATCTGCACGTGGATTGGTGTGAAAAAATAACATTTCAATCACCAGTATGTTGTAGTAATTTGGTTAGGTAAAACTGTAACCTTAAACGCTACACAAAACCAGAATTAATTATTGATCTGACAGGGAGGTGGGGGTTGGCTCCTCACTGATGTCATTGTTAAGACTTTTAAAGTCCATCCGTCTTCAGAACTGAAAATTGATCCCACGGAGGGTGACTACATCCCTCTTAGTTGTGGTGAGGGGGGGTAAAAAAAAATCAATTTAACACAGTTCTTCCCAGGCGGATTTGAGCATAATACAGACAACTGGCTATTGTGATTGCAGAGGAGACAAAGAGAGGGGAATGGACAGAGAGAGAAGACAACAAAAGGGGAGGTTTGGTTTGTAAATTACAGGCAGCAGGATGAAGAGGCCTGTCCTCACAGTGACACATACAAATCGTCAGCCATTTGACAAATAAGATAATGAAAAAGAACGTTCTAATCACAGTGCTGAGGCTGTGAATGATCACCATCCTCAGAGTGGGTGGATGGGCTAATTGTCACCAGATTGCAGGGAAACAGAATTTCTCCTCTGTCAGTCTAACGCCGGACCTTCTGGACTCCTTATGTCTGAAGTTTTCCATGATGTTGTTACTCTCACCACAGCTAGCTTTTGTTCTCCTGACTTTTTATGAAACATAGGGTGCACTCACACTAGGGCCGTCGGACCACGCTCAAGCATATTTACCCCTAAAGACCAGATTCTAGTGTGCTGTGCCTGAGGAGGTATGGGCATTTCCTGCTGCCTCAGCAAAAATATTTGTATGAGCACAGTGTCGTTGACTGCCAGTCACCATCTCACATAGTCAATAAATCCAGACTTTGGCGATTGAAGATAGTTTACAAAGAACTAGTCATTGCAGCCGTTGTTGCTGGTTTCACACTCGATCACACTGTTTTAACTGCTGTTAAACAATATTCACTGACGTATGTTTCAGAGACAACGGGGCTTCAGCACGCTTGCATCAGAAGTAATGTGAGTGTGGGCCAGCAGGGGACACTGGAGGGGAAGCATTCGGGCGCAGTACAGAACAACTGGCCCTAGTGTCTGTTCATTTAGACTGCAAATAGAAACACCACTTATCATTTAAAAGTCAATAATTAACTTACAGATATCATTTATATTACAAGTAAAAATTTAAGAAAAATTGTTTAATTCATAGTTTTCATCAACACGCTCAAATCAGTTTGATGCCGAAGAAGAAGTGTAGAAAAACCATCATCCAAATCCAAAAATGTTTGTATAGCCCCAGGTTCACCCTTTTCAGTAAATCATGGTATTAACTGTTTGGAATCTTGCCTGAGGTTAATGTGTATTAGACCTGAGCTGCTCCGCTCTCAGTGGTGACCCTTCAATGATTCTCCTCTTCTCTGCTGCACTAGACAATTCAATTGGAGACACATCCAGTAAAGCACAAGGACTTTTTGTCTTCGGTGTCACTATTTGGTCATTTGTGCAGAAGGAGGCCTGACTTTGTTTTCCTGCAAAAGAAAAATAAGTAGAGTCCTTGTAAAATGCACATTTGAAAATACCAATTCAAGTTGTTCAACTAATATTTCTATTAGTTAGCAGCTCCACGATGCACTGCGTGACTGTGTGTTTACCTGATCAAAAGTGAGACGTCGTCTTATTTCGGTCT